GGAGCGGCTCAGGGGCGAAGACAGGCATGTCTGCCTCCCTGCGCTGGCATCTCCAGCTGGCCCATGGCGAGTTCAGGGAGGCAAACATGGGTAAAACACAAGTCCTCTGAACCTCTCTCTATACATGCCCTATCAGATGTTAAAATATAGGGCAGTCTCCTTAGCTTAGGAAGTTACAGATCTCTACAGAGTTTGAATTACCTTGAAGCTTCTTTCAGCTCTTCAGGGCAGCACATGAAGCACAGGGCCACACCCAAGCGACCTTCCTTCTTACTCCCCTGAGTTTTATCACCTCTCTTTTCCCCACCCACTGACCAGGTCAGGCCGGATGAGAGAAGGTTTTCTGAAGTTTCCAGAAATTTCCTTCCTGAAGTCTCTCTAGTATTTAATTCCTCCAAATCTCTGTTCCCTGCTTGGGGAAGGGGAAAGCTTGACTCACCCATTATCTCTCCTGCTAGATCTATTAGCATTTGCATGAAGGTGGGCTGAGGTATGTTTGGAAAGCAATTGAACTGACCTCCCCCCCCCCTTCCTGCCTACTCTCTGCCCAGAGAGAAAAAAGAAACTTTTAAAACTCAGAATGAAGATTTCGCTCATTTCAAATCTCCAAAGAAAAAAATGCATTTCTTCATACTATCCTAAACAGAATTACGTTATTTTAAGTCCATTGACTACCAGTATTGGCTTTCTCACTGTACTCTTATATTCCATTTTATATGAATTTTACTCACCTGTCCACCTCCTGTAATAGTAACATCTGTTATGCACATATATGGAGTGGCCTCAGAAATAGCTGAAATTAGTGTCACAAATGAAATGATTTATAAATGATTTCATATTTTGGATTTTAACCAATTACTTATTGTTGCTTATCCTAATTTATTGCATAATGTTGTTATATTGTGATTGTTGTAACCCGCCCTGAGCCTTGCTACACAGGGGAGGGCAGTCTAGAAATTTAATAAAATAAAATCACAGTTCTGCTTAGGACTGTCCTGATACTATCCTAAAGGCTATCATAATCATGGATCATAATTCTATGCAAATTCTGGAGTGATAATAAAATACAAATAAAAGAGAATTAAAATATATGAATACAACCACAATGCAGTGAGCAATCTATTTTAAATAAAGCAATTAATGCAATGGCAATTCAGTGAAAAAACTTAGTTTTAATTAAAGCAGCTGGAGGGTCTGGGACAGTTGGCCCTCCAAGGCAGAGTCCCACTGGGGGTTTTTCTGGGAAAGTAAATTGTCAACCCTCCCCTGGTTTTAAGACAGGCAAGATTTGTTTCATCTGGCAAGCCTCTGTCAACAATTGGGTCACTGCATTTGGAAACAGTGAACTTTCCAGGTTGTCTTCAAGGGCAGCCCATGTAGAGTGCATTACACCAGTCCAACTGCAAAGTTACAAAAGCATGGATCAGCATAGAGTGAGAATTGGCAAGCCAGGTGCAAATGATAGAAGACACTCTTGATCATTTCCCCCAACCAGCTGTTCAAACAGCAAGGTCAGGTCCATGAACTTCTACATCAAGTAAATTCAGAGAGAATTGAAACAGCAACTGTCTGATTCACTTACCCGTGGCAGAAAGCACACACAACTACACCTATATTAAAATACACCTAACATAAATGTTTAAGTTTCTTTCAGAGAATGAACAAACGTAATAGCCCTTGGTTGATTTGCAAGAATAGCCTTAATTCCTTATAGTGGCATTTGAGATTCTTCTCCCCCCCCCCACCCGCTTTCTCTAACTCATGCCTATTTAAATAACATTTGTCTGTGTAAATAAAATGCATAACAATACTCCCTCTGTTTCCTAGATCTATTACACCGGCTGTTCTATGAACCCAGCTAGATCTTTTGCTCCTGCTGTGATTGTGGGTGACTTTGACAGCCAATGGGTAAGACATCATATAATTTGTGTAGCTACAGTATAGCTTTCGACATTTTCAAGAGCTGAAAACTGGGGTTCTTGTGGCTACTTGTAAATTACTATTCTCACAGAGTATCTCTGTATTTAACAATTAACTCTGGAATTGGTTTCTATGGAGCTTGTTACGCTTTTCAGTTTTTGTTTCTCTCCCTACAATAGTACCAGTCCACAGAGACACATTAATAAAACACTGCAAAAAGTGATACTGATGTGATAATATGTATGATTGCGGCAAGATTCTTTTTGTGCAGTGTTTTACTGAGGTGCACATATGCTCCTGCACATTAGTAAAGCATCACAAAAAAGGAATCCTGATGCAATCAGATATACAATCTCATCCGTCTTGTTATAGACAGTGGTGCTGTCCCCGATGTTGTTTAACATCTACATGCGCCCCCTTGCCCAGATTGCCCGGAGATGTGGTTTTGGGTGTCACCTATACGCAGATGACACCCAGCTCTATCTGATGTTGGGCAGCCAGTTGAACTCCAGCCCAGATGACCTTCATCAGGCATTGCAAGCTGTGGGTGCTTGGCTCAGACTGAGTCGGCTGAAACTAAACCCGGTGAAGATGGAGGTCCTGGGCCTGAGTCGGGTTGGTTCGGGGTTGGGACTTCCCCTCCCGACCTTCGATGGGGCGCCTTTTGTGCCAGCGTCAGAGGTTAGGCGTTTGGGTGTGCTCCTGGACTCCTCCTTAATGATGGAGGCCCAGGTGGCAGCCACTGCCAAGTTGGCCTTCTACCATCTTCGGCTGGCTCGGCAGTTGGTTCCCTTCCTTGACCGTGATGACCTGGCCACAGTGATCCATGCGACGGTCACCTCGAGGTTAGACTACTATAACACTATCTACATGGGACTGCCTTTGTCACAAATCCGGAAGCTGCAGCTAGTGCAGAATGCTGCGGCCAGGCTGTTGATGGGTCTCTCTAGACGGGACCATATCAGGCCTGTGCTGAAAGTGCTGAACTGGCTGCCAATAGCGTACCGGGTTCACTTCAAAGTGCTCGTTCTTACCTTTAAAGCCCTATATGGCCAGGGTCTAGCATACCTGAGGGACCGCCTTTCCCCATATGTTCCCCCAAGGGCACTATGGTCGGGGACTCAACACCTCCTGGTAACCCCAGGCCCTAAAGGTACTATGTTTGCTGCAACCAGGGCCAGGGCTTTTTCGGTAGCAGCCCCTACCTGGTGGAACGAGCTCCCGGAGGAGATCCGGCCTACTGTGCCATTGCTGCACCACCACCACCAACTGACTTGGGTAACATCTAGGGGGGTGCAATGGCCCTGGGATGAAGAATGAAGGGTATTGCCACCTGGAACGATACAATTGACTTGAGATTACCAACACCAGAAGCCCATATTGTTACTGAGGACTTTGAGACAACTTGAGCACCTCGTACTATATAATTGATTGATTGTTTTATCAGGTTTTAGCTGTTTTAATTATGGGCATGTTTGCCTCATCTGTAAGCCACCCTGAGCCCGCTTGCGGGGGGGCGGCCTATAAATCTAAAATATAATAAAAAATTAAATAGTATGCTTCAGCTGGTGCGTTGCACAATGTCATTTCCACCACCCATTGTTTCTCCTCCTGCCAGCCCCAAAAGCAATGGTGGGTGGGAAGACTGGTTTGCCAGGAGACTGTCTGCCAATCCAAAGCAGGCAAATGCTTGAACGATTACTTCCCAGTAGTGATATAGTACCCACATGGGGATGATGGGAAGGTGCTGAGTGGAACCCCATTTCAATCCCACTTTGGACCATGCAAAAAAGGTTGCAGTATGTAGGTAATTTAGAATTCCACACTCCAGAGAAGAATTCAGGAAGAATTTCATGGACATCCAGTTAAACTTCTTGCAACAGGCTCTTTCCCAAAGGTCCTTTTCTGCCTATTGTGTGCTGCATTCATGAACAGCCGCCATAGCCAGCCCTGTACTGGTTTAGAAGCAGAATATTCCTTTGCTAAAGATATGCAACTAGAAAAGAACACATACACCCCTAACAGCTAGAGTTGCCAGGTTTGTGTTGGGAAATACCTGGAGACTTGCAGGGCGGAGCCTGGAGACCTCAGCAGGGCATAATGCCGTACTGTCCACCTCCCAAAGTAGCCATTTTCTCCAAGGGGACTGAGACCGGTTGTAATTCTGGGAGATCTCCAGCCACTACCTGGAGGCTGGCAACTCTATTAGTAGCCAATAAAAGTTCAAAATGAGCCTCACCTGTTGCCGCATGCAAAACAGCAGCCTGAGCACCGCCTGGTTTGTCCTTCTGCTATCACCTGCCAGTGGACAAAATACATTCAGTTCAGTGAGACAAAACTTCTACAGCAAGGGTCCCCGATCCGTCCTTTAATGAGAGCTACTTTTGAGTAAGGGGAAAATACCCCCCTCCTCAGAATGTTATCAAGTTCTGTTGTTATCAGAATGTTATCAAGTTCTGTTCTGTCCCAGAAACAAAATATAAACTAGGAAGGGCACCAGAAATGAAGCTATCAGCTAAGCAGCACTGAGCAAAATTCCTGTGAAGGTCTTCTGGGGAATGCATAAACTACTTTGCAGCAGCCAGAGAGCTACCGAAACCCCTGTTCCAGAGACTTGGGAAAGGAAGCTGAAACCATTTTATTTTTATTTAACAGCAACTCAGGGGTTTTTTTTTTGCAAAGCACTCACCTAACTTCCCCCAACGTGCAAAGAATAGGCAATGATCAATCAGAGGCCCCGGTCACACAGAAGATTTTGGCCCGGGAGAGGGACGGATCGGGGGCACAGCAAATGGGTGCGATCTCACCACAACATCTGGGAAGCGACATGCACCCGTCCCCGATCCGTCCCTAAACCCGGAAAAGCCGCTGCAAAAAAGAACCTCCTACAGAGGAGGACTTACCTGAAGCACCGCAGCAAGCCTGGCCGTGGGATCGCCGCCGCGCCCGTCATCTGGAGCAATCCAGGCTCCCGGCCGAACTGCGCACGTGCACACATGTGCTGTTCGGCAGCCTGGCTCTCCCTTCAGTAGCTCCCCCCCATCTGATCGTGCCAGGGAGGAACTGCGCGGCGGCTCAGGGGATCTATGTGATCCCGCCGCCGCGTGTTTCTTTTGGTGCGGCTTTAAAAAGCCGCACGTTGGTCGTACTCCCCCCCCCCCGTGTGGCAGGGGCCAGAGACGGTTGTCAGAAAAGCTGGATTGTCCTTAATGAATAGGGATTGTCGGTATCTCTGCATATTGCAGGGTACAGTGTTCCTAGAACCAGGAAATCTCTTGGTATTTCAGTAATAGTATGATAATATTACATGGGGTGAGAGTTCTTAGTTCATAATGATTGGCAGGAGTACTGCACAGTAAGCAATTATACCGATGTCTCGGCTGGGTTACAAGAGGAAGAGATTTCAGTGGCTTGCTCTTTGTGACTTGGCAATGGATTGAGAACCCCTCTTTGGTTCTAGTTGTGTGAACTCTGAGGATTCTAGTTTGTGCCAGCTTCAGGGCAGTTTTTCCACTAGCTCTGGCTTTTGTGTGTTTGGAGAGAATTTACCACTTGTGTTCAATGAACTGAAAGAACAGAGGAAGAAAAACCTTTGAGTAAGTTTGGAAAAGAACTCTGAGGCTGCGGTCACACTGGAGGCTTGGCGCAATCTGGCTGCACCTCTGTTTGCGGCAGTTTAAATAGTTGCAGGAAGTTTTGATCAGACATCCCACCCTGGTCAATCGTTCAGATTGTTGCAGCGCTCTTTCTTTCTTTTGGTCTTTCCCCCATGTGCATAAGTGTGTATCTGCAGATACTTTCCTTATATTTTGCATATCTTTTATCCTCCTCCAGTCCTTCAGGCTTTTTTAAAATTTTCTTTCCCACAATCTATACAGCAAAAACAGGAAGGCAGCCTGGTGCAGTCTGGGGCAGAGGCTGTGCAGGCTTGCCACCGATGCGATGTCCCTTGGTGTGGGGGTTCAAACCAGGGAGGCCTAGATTGCCCCACCTCCCTTCACCCTTCCAAACAGTACTGCTCCACGGGTGAGGGCATTGCCAGGTAAACACTGGAGCTGGAGGACCCAGGCAGATTAAAACAAACTGTTCTATTCAAGCTGTATTGTAACCAAACAGATGGGGGGGGGGCATTTGGCAGTAGCAACTTTAACAGGGATACATTTTCAGCCAGCTGTGCAAAACTGACACATGAAGGAGCTGGCAAGAAAACAATAAAGCATCCTAATGCAGTGGCCTCAGTGGTCCCTACTGTACCTGACCCTTCCCAGGTCCAACTGACCTGCCCTGGGTGAGGGGTCCTCTCTGCTACTCAGCTCCTGGAGAAGAACACCTTCCCTCTTCGGGGGGTCCTTGTAATTTCCCTCAAGGCTAGGGTTGCCTTGCTGTCAGCGGGGGGCTCCAATCTCAGTCCTGGAGTCAGTGGTCATTTCCTGCAAGAGCGCACAGGAGCGGAGCTCCGGCAGTAAAGAGCCCAGGGGGCGGGCACATGCAACAAGCCCCACCCCCTACTCCCAGCAGCCCTCAGTCAGAGCAAGAAGCAGCCAGGTAAGTTGCAGAGCCCCCCCCCGGGCCCTGGTCCAAAACTGTCCAGTAGCGCCTTTAAGACCAAGTTTTATTCAGGTACAAGCTCTCCATCCTCTGCGAGGACAGATATGCACGTTCCCCCCCCCACCCAAAAAAAAAAATGATGTCAGGGGTGTGGCATATGCAAATGAGTTATGCTAATGAGTTATGCTAATGAGCTCCTGCACCTCTTCTTCTACGAAATGACCCCTGCCAGGAGTCTTCCCAGAAGTGATATCATCGTGCTGGGCAGGTCAAGCAGGGTACAATCTAATGTTTTTTGGGGAAACTCTATGGTCACTGTAGATCGTATGCCCAAATGCTAGAGTGCCCCCATGTGGTGTGCCAGGCACGATGATGTCACCTCCAGGTGACATCATTGTGGCAGGCACGTCAGCTGGGATGGGGTTCTTTGAGGGTGGGGCTCCCCTGGTGGCCACCTGGCTGATGGCAGATTGGGACCCCCGAAAGTGGGGAAACCCCTGCCCCCATCGGGGAGATGGCAACCCTACTCAAGGCCCAGCCTGCCCTTTCCCTCCAGTTTCACCCCAGTCCAATCACAAGACTCAGAGGATACCTGGAAAATACAGGCCGAGAGGGAAAATTCCAGCAAGGCCCCAGGCCTCCTAGTGGGAGAGAGGCCTCCTTGAGGCCTACAGATGACTCATTCTTTGTCTGAGGATCATGACACAGCCGCTTTCAAACTTCCTACTTTCAGGGTACATTTCCTTCACTGAATCATGTGCTGAAGAACCCCTGCAGGTTTATCATGGAACCCCTGTACATTTCAAGTTATTCTGAAGCACATTCTGAGGTGTCCGCTCAGGCTTGGTTTTAGGGTGGCCATCTAAGAAGGGATTTGCAAATTTGTAATTGTAATCATTTAAAGAGAAATATAACTCACTGTAGCACCCGCTGTTTCTGTTGTCCAGGTGCTGTTGATGGGGCTCTTTTAGTTCATTCCAAACAGCTTGGATAGCTTGAGTATCTCTCCAACTGCACATTAGTATTTACACCACCTTAGCCAATTTTACCAGACAGATGCAGAACCTGGACTTCTATTTGAGACCAGGAGAGGTCTCAAAAAAAAAAAAAAAGCTGGCAGAATGGACATAGAGAGAATAGTCCTCAAAAAAGAGAATTATCCTCAGAAAAAGAGGCCATTTAACCATCCTGCTTGATTTATACATACAACAGATTAAGGTGGTAGAATCCAGCCAGCATGTTGTCATACCTTTCTCCTAGGGTTACCAACCTCGAGGCGGGGGCTGGAGATCTCCTGGTATTACAAGTGACCTCCAGATGACAGATCAGTTCCCCTTTCTCCATTGCTCCAGTTTATCTGGCAGGAAGGCAACAGTACCAACAAAGTCAGTGTATATCTCTCTTTCTCTTACCCACTCCATTGTGGCAGGGCATGTCTTAGGAGCAAAGAACCCTAGGAAGCACAATTGTCCAGGGTGAGTTCTCCATTCCACTGCCACAAGAAGAGGGGCAAGAAAAAGGATCTCAACCTGAGCTCTTCAGGACTTAGAGATGGGGGAGACCTACAAAAGACCTAGAGGGGGAAAAGATCAGTAGCCAGGTGCCAGAGAAGTAAGCAGGTCAGCAGTAGCGGGTGTAGGAAAATGGTGTTTTTCAGTTGCAATGGGGGGGAGGGAGTGGTTCAAAGGAATGAGGGGAAGATGAGACTGTAAACTGGTAGGAAATATGGATGGAGAGGAGAGACGTATGTGACCAGGAACCGCAGGTATGAGGAACTGTATCATGAAATAATTTGCCAATTCTTTGGCTGAAGACGATCTAATAATGGTGGTACTGCGGCCTTACCTCCAGTGCCATACCTCTGTACCTCCACCATGCCTCCATTCATTAGATGCAGTCTCACAAAATTCCCTCTCCTCATCCCCACTGAAGAAATCTTCCACTTGGGTTGTAAAGAAGAGTTTGAAAGGGGGGGGAAATCCCTCAATCTCTATTCTATAGTGTTAGGACAAGTTTATTGTCCTAACATTATTATTGAGCAAAACTTGACCTGGAGCACTAACACCACTGCTCTGGTGAAGAAGGCCCAGCAGAGGCTCTTTTTTCTCAGACTTTTAAAGAAAAATAACTTGAGTGAGAAAATACTGATGTCCTTCTATTGTTGCTCAATAGAGAGCATTTTAATATACTGTGTCTGTGCCTGGTTTGCCAGTTGTATGGCTGTGGATAGGAAAGCACTCCAGAGAATTATCATCACAGCCCAGAAGATTATTGGCTGCCCTCTCTCATTCCTGGAGGAATTGTATAGTTCGTGATGTTTGAAAAAAGCAAAGAACATTCTGCAGGATTTGTCACACCCTGAACACTCCCTGTTTGAACTGCTGCCTTCGGGTAGAAGATATAGGACAATTAAAACAAGGACAAACAGATTAAAAACCAGTTTTTATTCGAGAGCTATTATTGCTTTAAATGCTGTATGAAATTGGAATTTGGGTGACATTGGTGATTTAAGTTGCAATGTGAACCTTAAGGGAGTTATGGGATGGTTGTGAATGGTTGTGTGAGTGTATATGAGTATGGCTGTAGATCACTGAAATGATTGCACCTTTAATTTCGTTGTACTATGTACAATGACAATAAAGTATATTATTATTATTATTATCTGAGAGTTTTTGCATAGGCGCATCAAACAATTTCTCTACTTTCTTCCCCCAGGTCTTCTGGCTGGGACCAATGGTTGGGGCAGTGGTGGCTTCCTTGATCTACAACTATGCTCTCTTCCCCCATACAAAGACCCTTTCTGAAAGGTTAGCCATCTTCAAAGGCTATGAACCAGAGGAAGACTGGAAAGAGCGTGAAGTTCGCAGGCGGCAATCGATGGAGCTGCATTCCCCGCAAACACTACCTCGAGGGGTGATGGAGAAAGTTTAAGCCAACTCCAGTGGTCTGTGAAAGGAACAGGCCACAACAAACCATGTTCTCTGGTATCTACTCCTGAGCCAAATGTACATTCATACAAGCTGCAAAGGAACTTTGCAGGTTAATGTTACCCTCACCAGGGGCAATACATGTATCTGTGATGGAGCATCCATGGAGCCTAACTTTTTAGCTTGATGTGGAGGACCCACAAAAGAGCATTAAGCTATTTTTAATAGACTATATGGCATCCTCTTCTGCCTAACAAAGTTAAGCAAAAGTCCAATACCAACTTAAAGGCTAACAAAATTTATCCAAACACAATCTTTATTTCCTATCTGTATCAGCTAATTTTTTCCTAAATCTCTAACATTTTGATTATAGCTGAAAATGCATTGATCACAACAATCAGTTTATATGAAACAAAAAAGGTCAACATTTTCTTTGAAGTCTACAACCTTCTTAAGTCTGATATCTGGAGTGATGGACTGGTAAACTCAGAAAATTTGAGTTTTAGTCTCACAGACTATAGCTAGAGTCATCTGGCTTCTCATGCCTCCGTACATACAGTGAGTCCCTTTTTGCTGCTTTACACCATTTATTAAAATGAATGAAAATCCATTATGCTCCCATCTTTTGGTACAGAAGCAAACTTTATTGCCAGACCATGCCTAGAATAAGCTCATACCAATCAAATCCATTCTCAGTGATTTCAAAAGATGTTTGCAGGGTACTGCAGCACTGCTGCTAACCTTGGGCCCGGTCACATGGGCAGGAAAATGCAGGGGGGAAGCGTGACTGTTTGCCCTGAAGCAAACGAACATGCGGCCGCCGGATCACACGTCCCGCCAACTTCCCGTGGTTCGGGGGGAGGTGCCGATCACACGACAATCCTGCAGTGCGGCAAAGAAGCGGCGCGGCGCGATCACAGCAGCAATGGCTAGGCGCCGCTGCTGTGGCAAACGGGATTGTGGGGTTTTTTAAACCAAAGTGTGTGCATGCGCAGTTGGGTGCTTGTGCGCATCCCGTGGAGACTTGGGGAAAAAAATCCTTTTTGCGACGGGACATGGGTGGGCACCGGATGCCACGAACTACCACCGGAAACGCGATCAGACGTTCACCCTTGCCCCATGGTTTCCAGAAACTAGTACCTCGGAGGTACTAGATTTTTACGCCGCATCTTCGGCGGGAAGCCTCGGGTTAGCCACGGGAGCTCTACGCTTCCCAGATGTTGTGGTGTGATCGCGCCTGGAAAATCCGCCTATCTTCTGTCTCTGTAGCGTGGCTACTGCTCCGTGTGACCGCAGCCCTTGTCTCTTCCTTTGCATTAAAAGAGTTAAGGTGTACTTTTTTAACAGGCTTGTAACACTAGTGATCCATGTTTGAATCTCAGATATATAATTTAACTGGGGGGAAATAACAGCCATGGAGGAAGGGGAATAATATAGAGCAGTATCATGGCACTAGACAGGGGTGGGACTAATTGTTCCTCTGTGCCATTTCCATCAGCAAAAATGCCTCCTTCCAGCTGCTTTAAACCTGTTGGGGGGAAGAGAGACAGGTAACCTGTATTGTGCATGTCTTTAAAGTAGCTCAGGACTGCATTTCCAACTGGGAAATTTTACAAAGGAGAGACTTAAAACATCATCGTTCCATTTCGGGGGGCCCCCCTCCACCCACACACATACACTGCTGTTTGCAGCTACATCATACACCTAGGGATCCAAAGTAAGCCATTGGCTGTGGAGGTTGGCTTTGTCCTACCCTTCCTGTGCTGTCAAGTTGCTTCTGATTTATGACTCTGACCTTGCAAACTGAGGGCCATGGCTTCCTTGACTGAGTTAATCCATCTCATGCTGGGTCTGGGGTTGTGGGATGGTATATTTTCGAAAGATCAAAGGAAAGTGGTTGTTCTCGAATGATTGCACATTGGCCTTCTTACACACTTGTATTTTTTTCTTTTCTTTAAAAAAACACAGTTATGCACACTCTTCTCTCTTTTTTTATTTTTTTGCATCTCTTGGAAGCTAATCAGGCTCGGCGCTTATTAGTATTTGGATGGGAGACCACCAAGGAAACCCAGGGTGACAATGCAGAGGCAGGCCATGGCAAACCACCTTGGAACAGATCTTGCCTCGAAACCCCCACAGGGTTGCCATAACTCAGCTGTGACTCGACAGGAAAAAAAAGCATGCATAATAGATGTATCTTATATTTTTGTTCATGCTCTTTAACATCACTAATAGCAGTATGCACAGACACACTTTGGACATTTTTCTAAATAACAAGAGTAAGGGTTTTTATGGGGCTTTTGAATGGCATTGATCAACGTAATGCTTTTGCTTCTCTCATATACTATATTTTATAGAAATGTGATCTTTACTGCAGCAGGGCATTTGGGGGGGAGGGATCTTATTGTTCCCTATATTTTGTTTTAATTCATCTCATGTTTAACCTGGCATGGCCCAAATTCTGCAGTCGCCTTTGGACAGTGGTGACAATGTGGGTAATGACAAAGGCAACATCTGTCGGCTACAGTGGAACTTGTAAAGCATTAAACTGAAAGATTAATTGAAAGGTTGCCTCCATAAGGATGGGGGAGCATAGGGATGTGACATTAGGGGTGGTCCAAAGATTTTTTTGGGGGGTGCAGCCTGGCCCCAGTGTCTGCCTGTGTGATTGTCCTGGGGGCATCTCACTTTAGAGTGGCTAGCACAAGAACGGGGCTTTGGACCAGGAAGTGCCATATCCAGGGGTCATTTTGTAGAAAAAGAGCTAGGGGAACTCATTAGCAGAACTCATTAGCATATGCCACACCCCCTGACATCACCGGAAGTGTGTCATAAGGCCACACACCCCGCCCCCAACGGTCCCGGCCGCTGCCGCCGGCCTTGCAGCTCCACTGCCGAGCCCCATGAGGGGCCCGGCGGTGGACCTGCAAGGCCGGTGAGAGTGCAAGGAAGCCCCGCGAAGGCCCTCCCTGGCCCCAGGCAGGCAGGGGTGGGGAGAGGCAGGGAGGAAGCAACTTACCCTCCCTCTTCTTCTGCCTCCTCCTGGCTGAATGAGGGCCGGAAGCAGGGCGGCTGGAAGCAGGGGGCGGGGCTTCGTCATGTGCCCCGCCCCCATACCTCACCCGGGGGAACTGTGATCCCCCGCGATCCCCCCTGAAATGACCTCTGGCCATATCTCCCCTTGAAGGGGAGAGTCCCCTGAATGTGGGGTTGTATGATATATGGTGGTCCAGATTTTATTTTAGGTTTCAGAGCTTTCAAACTCTCTTCAGGGTTTTAGGTTGAATTCATGAATAAGTCATGATTAAGGAATGAATAAGGAACTGGGATTAAGGAACCATCCTTATCCTCCTGCCTCCATACTAGGATGTTTTTGCCCAGCTTAACAGCTGCTTTCCCACAGTCAGTATCAAGCAAGCAGAATTAAAACTGGGGGCGGGGTTTCCACATGTTTTATTATGTCCTCCATAAAAATGCATCCATGCCCATCTCTAGGGCAAGACCCGACTATATCTTTAATTCATTTTGACAAAGGTCCCGGTTCTCCCTGCAGCTGGCCGTTTCAAGTTTGCTCCTTTTCTTTTTGTTCCTTGAGAGGGAGGTGAGTTTAATTACTACTTTTCTCTATGCAGCCAAAGCATATTTCTTTTTTAGGATCCTAATTTTATGATCGCATAATTAGAACCATTTAAAAGAACTAATAAGTAATCACTTGCATTGCAAAGATTCAAGTAGCAATCAAAGCTCCTTTCTCCAGAGAACAAGAACTAATTAAGGACTGATTCAGCAAAGCTTAGACCATCACAAGGCTACAGGAAATATCTAATTAAGCTGCAAAGCAGCTATAAAGTTACAAAGAAAGAAGGAGCACAGTTTAAACAGATAATAGCCTCAGGAAGCCTCCACAATACTTTGCCAGTTCACACTTCATCTCACACAAATTCTTCTCATTCTTGCTTGAAAAATTTGATTTATGCATGTATTTATTTAGAAAATGTATATGCTACCTCCTCAGAGACCTGCTTTATATGTGGGTACTGATTCTTTAAAAACATATCCATTTATGGATATTGATGTTGGATTTCTGTGTGTTGGGAGGGGAGTTTAAGAAAGCCAAGGTATAAAATGCTAATATGTTGTCGAAGGCTTTCATGACCAGAGTTCATTCGTTACTGTAGACTTTCCGGATTGTGTGGCCGTGGTCTTGGCATTGTAGAACCTGATGTTTCACCAGTAGCTGTGACTGGCATCTTCAGAGGTATAACACAGAAAGACGGAGAGAGAGTACTCTGGAAAATCTACAGCAACTTATAAAATGCTAAATTTGCAAGTTGATAATGACATAGACATAGACATAAAAAAATCTTGAAGCAGTCATATCAATTTTTTAAAAGGTCCTTCCAAATCATGTTTTAGGAGTGAAATTTGAAAATTAGATTCAAATTGTTGGGGTGTTTTATTGCCAAATTTTGTGTTTGTTTGAAATGCCATTTCAGAGAAGTATAAGAATTACAAATATTATTTTAGGTGATTTACATCACAATTGGGATTTGGAATGGTATAGTATAGCCCGATCTCATCAGATCTCGGGAGCAAAGCAGGGTCAATACTTGAATGGGAGGTCACCAAGGAAGACTTTGCAGAGATAGGTAATGGCAAACCACCTCTGCTTCTCATCCTAACCTTTGGGGAAGGCTTGGAAGCAATGCTCCCTCTAAGCTGTGGAGTCTTGTGAGCAAAAATTCTACTTTGTGATCTACTGGCATTAAAGTTGTGAGCAAGCAAGTTGGCTGCTGAATAAATCAGTTTGCTCTGGAGCCATCCTTCCTGAGCTGAGGCAAAAATCTGAACTGGAGGCTAAAAAACTGAGAGCTAATTCACACTAACTCAGCTTAGAGGGAACACTGCTTGGAAGTATCCATTAATCCAGAATTCTGGTTACTGTTAGAAGCCAGGCACAGAGAATGCACAATATCTAATTTGTGCTGCCTCACTGAGTGGTTT